ATTCTCATTCTTAGTCCAATCAATGCACAAAAACAAGTCTAAGACAAATGCTTTCTAATAGGTTTTGTACCTGGTGTCGGAGGATACTCATCAGTCTTGCAGCTGGAGGGAGACATCTTCAAAATTCCTACATAAAAGTTCAAACGAAATATTAAAAAGACTACTCAATAGGTATTTGAAAAATAAAATGTACAGTTAGAAAGAGGCAGGCACAAGGCCACACACCAGCATGCTATACCACGACCCAAAGTAGTAGCATATTAAGGCCCTGGTTGTAGGAACCCAGTGCCCTAGTATTAGGCCCCACATTCCATTTCTTTTATCTTGCACTAACTCACAGGCCTACAAAGGAGGAAGCCCAACGCTATATGCCAAGCTTTCATCCTTTTTCTCTCAGCCTACATAGTACGAGCCCAAGCCTCTCTATTCCTTTCTCTCGACCTAAGTCAACAAGAAACCCGCCTCCCACTTAGCTCAACAGCAAGTCAAGGTGCGACCTACTTTCTTTCTAATAAGTCCAATGACTTAAGCCAATACTTCTCTATACTTCCATGTATGTCCCGCACGAAATCTGGCCCCAAATTGGCTAAGCCCCAACTTGCTAGTTCCTGGCCCTGCTAACCGTGCATCTGGCCCTAACCAGCCACACGCCGAACTCGTTTGATCACGTTGCCGGCACCTTAACTTCAGTCGAAAGAGAGACATCTTGAAAATTCCTATGTAAAATTTCAAGAGAAGTATTAAAAAGACTACTCAATAGGTATATGAAAAATAAATCGTACTGTTGGAAAGGGGCATACACAAGGTCGCAGACCATCATGCCAAACCACAGCCCAAAGTAGTAGCTCACCAAGGCCCAAAGTAGCAGCACCTTATGCCAAGCTTTCCCTCCTCTCCTCTCAGCCCACAAAGTATAGGCCCAAGCCTCTCAATTCATTTCTCTAAGTCGACAAGAGGTCTGCCTCCTACTCATAGCAGCAGCAAGTCAGGCCGCGACTTACTTTCTTTCTAGTAAGTCTAGTGACCTAGGCCAATAACTCTCTACTTTAATGTATGGCCCGCACCAAATCTAAGCCCCAATCGGGCCGAGCCTCAGCTTGCCTAGTTCCTAGCCTTGCTAGCCGTGCATCTGGCCCTAGCCAGTTGTGCGCCAAGCTCGTGCAATATCATGTTGCCAGCACCTTAGCTTCAGCCGAGCTGATCCTTACCACACCACACCAGCTCCTAGGCTTCTCGCCGAACTAACCCACCACGATGCCAAGCCAACCATGGGTTCTAGAAGAAAAAAAAGGGAAATTTTTAAAGTTTTCCTTACCTTGGTGCGGCACAAAGAAGAAGGTAATGATGACGCTCAACTCTTCGCAAGGGCAAACAAAGAATTAAACTCGGGAAAGGGGTACAATTTCCTCTATTTTTTTTCTTTTTTGTTAGGATAAAAGTTGCTCTAGGAATTTATTTAAACCTCTACTTAAGGTAGACTTAAATAAGTTCTAGAAGGTAGTTGGTTTCCCTTTCCTATAAGACTTCAAATCCAAGTTAAAGCTCAGAATCTCAAGCAATTAGGAATCGACTTTTGACTTTCCCATTTGGACTTATACATTTTTTGCCCTTTTTCGTGTAACGGTGTGGGGGCGTATGTGGAGTGAAAAATAATCCAAAAAATCATAGAGCTGCCACATGGACTTTTTTCCAAAGAAGACAAGAATGCCCTCATTAAATGGCGGCCCACATTTAGTCCACTTGCAGTTCAGCCTTTTTAAAGATATGAGCAGCTGACTACAGCATCACCAAGCTCTTATGCCCATAGCAAGGAGAAAGGTCAAAGGAATTAAGAATATGATTAATTAATAAACTTCATCTTTAATATTCTCCTGATTGAAGATCAACTCAAACAAGTAAGGATTTCCAATCTCAAGTTATTATTCAATAATTAATATCTTTAGGATTATTCTTTTCTCATCTATCCTACGGATGACTCACCTTGGTTAATGAAAAACCTCCATGCATAGGGCAAAACCTATGGCTGGCTACCTCCGTAAAAATACTCCATCTACACCAATTTCTGGTAAGCTTTTGTATGCACTTAAGCCTTGAACTCTCTCTTTTCAAAAATTGACTTAGGCATTAGAGATCCATTGGCCAAACTCCCTTCCCCTTACTCTATGGGCATGTGTGTGCCTTTGGCCTTGATCAAATGTGATTTGTTTGGTAGGTACAATTTCATCAAGACTGAAGACGACATAAATTTACTACCACAACAGTTATCTCATAAACTATTTTCCTTCTTTTTCAAATGACAAAGGTCATGTGAAAATATAAAATCAATGAAGTCATCATCCCCTTCATTTAATTTAAGAATGAATCGGTATCAAACTTGTAATCAACGAAAGTCAAACTTAAAATCATCTATTTACAAATAAAGAGAAATATCATTAGACAATAGAGCTAATGCCAAAGTTTTATACTATTGATACACTTAGTATTTATAGATACGAATTGGGAGGGGGGGGGGTGGGGAGGGTTGGCAAATGACATGAAAAAAAGAGAGTAAATGGAAGGTTCATTAATTGCCCTTTAACCCACTACATAGGATAAACAAGACAAGCTTATCTTGCAATAGATTTTGATGCATGGCTTGGATTTTAGCAAGTAGCATTATGGGAGATGATATGATAAAAGGGAAACTAATCAACCGATAAACTAGCTTCTCTTGTAATGAATTAATTACACGCTTTAAACCAAACAAATTACAAACACTTGAAATAAGTTGCAACTAAAGGGCCTTCTAAAAGCACCAAAAGTGCTTCCTAAGAAGCACTAGTTATGTGATTCGTGCATAACGCACTTTAAATGTTTTTCCAAAATTAATTTGAATTTTTACTAAGAATTGGTTTTAAAACATTTTATCTAAAAGCATTTTTAGTCATTTAAAAGAACTTTCCAACACAAATCTTAACATTGTCGCGTTGCCTCCAAAAAGCTTTCATACAAACATTTTGCATGGTACAATGCTCAAACGTTAGTTTTTATTAATGTTGCGCCCATTTTGGGTAAATTAATTAATGTTTATATTTAACCGGGATAATCTTAAGAGAACGGTTTGCAAGACACAACACCGTTACATAATATTATGTGTCAATGAAGTAAAAATATTAAATAAACTACACGTATGTTTTTATTTCATTAACACAAAATGTCGCCAAAACACGAAGTGTTTTTGTTTGGAAATTGTTCAATTCAATTACGTCCGAATTGGTAATGAATGACATGCAAGGATGCACCGTGCACAAAAATAAGTGTGTCAATAGGACTCATGACCCCACTAAAACAAAGCCACCTGTATCAGTAACATCGTCTTCAAAGGAAAGGGATCATCTTCGAATCCTTTCCTCCTAATCCATCAAGTTCGGGAATTCGGACTATTGAAATTTGATCCAACGGCTAAAGTTATTATAACGTTTTAAAATGGATCCCTATTTGTAACCGTTAAATCAAATTTTAATGGCCCGAATCCCTGAATTTGATGAATTAGGTGGAAGGGAGATCCATTTCCCTAAAACAAAGCCACCTGTATCAGTAATATCATCTTCAGAGGCTGCAACCAATTAGGTCCCACACATAAACCCACCTGCCATATTCTGAATCTTGCCCGTCAATTCTATACCGTCCATATTTGATCCCCTACCCTGGCATGTCCTGTGCGGCATGACAAAGCTCATTGGGCCCCACGCTATGTGGATCCAACGACTCTGGAACGCCAATGTTGAAACAACATCACAAATTTGAAAACAATTTGAAGGGAATCTGAGGTGAGTGTGACACTGCTGCCAAGCTGTCCCGTGTTGCTTGATCTTTTCTGCTAGACGGCGTCCTCACGAGTAGTACAGGTGGGCATCACTGTCACTCGTTCCTTCAAACTTCCTTATGTGGAAATTAATACTCGCCCACGCGCAACTTGTCAATGGTCTTAGAGAGTGGGGTACAGAGATTGGGAAAGCGCATGAGGTAGACTTCGAAGGGACAACGTGCCTTGGTGATCCACTCATGGACCTAATATTTTATGTCATTATTTATTTTTAATATATGAGGTGTTTATTAAAAAATAAGATTCCTAAGCAAATATTATTAGATCCTCTCTGGATCCATGCATCCTAATCCTAGGGATCCACCAATTTGGATCATTGAAATTTGATTCAACAACTAAAATTATTATAACTTTTAAAGTGGACTCATGTTTATACTCGTTTGATTAAATTTTAATGACCCAAATTGATGAATCCCCAGAATTAGGATGTACGGATCCGGAGAGGATCCATGTCCCGCAAACATGCACAACAGCCCGCGTGCCGAAATTACATCACCCTCGCCCCACCAGAGTCTTCCAACTTCCATTCAACCCGTATCTTGATTTTCCATTAATACCCTCCAAGCCGTCTAATCATTAAACTTACCCACTGATCACAATATTCACAACATGAAAAATAATGAATATTTTTATACTCTCTTTTTAATTTTTAATTTTTTGATTTTTTAAAAGCTTGAACTTCTCTAACGTTGCCAAAAGAAAAAAAGCGAGTCGTGTAGGTAGAATTCCATTCCGAACCACCGCGTGAGATTATTCGTAACACTTAAGGTTTGAAGGGAGTGCAGATAATGTCGAATTTCTATCATCTGTCACGTGTCATCTTACTTAATTTTCATATTAAATATTATTTTTCAATTTAAGATGATGCCTTATCCACCACACCACTTGCAACAAGTTTCAGTTTTCAAATTTTCAAGAAACAAAAAAAAATAAAAATAAAATAAAAACTTAAAATAAATGGTTAAGAAACGACCTCTTAATTTAACAGTAAATTATCCATATTTTGGGTCAAGAAATCATTTTTACCTTCCTTTTACTTCACAGTGGACCCACGAGGGTATTCTGGTAAATTCAGCCTTGGTCCAGCGCCTGATATCTGTGGTTTTGTTGGTGCTCTGTGACTCTGTCTCTGGCCTTTTTCCATTCGCTCATCTCAGGTGGTTTGGCGCTGCTATATGCATATACTCTCCTCCAAAAAAATCGAAAACCCAAAAAAAAGAAAAAAATTCTGCTCAAAATCCTTTGCATGTTCATCTTCTTCCTCTCTCCTGCTCATCCATGGAGTCCAAAACCCTAGCAGTCACAGCTCAGAGCCGCCAGCTCGCCGTCGTCAACTTCCGGTAAACACTCTTCCACCTTCTCTGTTCCCCCGTTTCCCTTCACTTTCGATGTTTGCAATAACCATTTTTGCAAAAGAATTAATTTTTATTTATTTTTTTGAGTTTTCTGCTTTACTTTCTTGTCATCGCCTATATATTTTCCTTCTCGGATTCTCGATCGTTAAAAAGTTCACTACTTTTTGGCGTTTTTGGAGCTCCGGTAGTCTGATAGATGACTCTCTGGTTTCCATTTCCGACTTCGTTTGGTTCCGATTGTTTTGTCGTCGTCTTCTTTCCTGTTAATTTTAATTTTTTATATTTGGAGCTGAGTAGTGGTTTCGGATGAGTTATCGGATTAAAATTTTTCCGTAAGTGGTTTTAGAGCGATGGCGGGTTTGCGGGTTTTCGCATGCGTTTGTTGTTGGTTTGGAAGTTTTAGCTATTGATGGTGAGGTTTAGAAATTTCCAAACTTGTTGGACCTACTTTCTATTTTCTTCTCATACTTTTCTGCTCTTGGTTTTGTGATTTGTTTAAAAAAAAAATAGAAAGATATTTGGCCCCAGCAGGTTTTGTATGACTTTTGACTCTGTTTGGCTGCTCAGAAAATATGTTTGTGTAACTTTGACTGCTGAGAAAATGTTGGTAATCAAGTGTTAAAAACGCACAGTAAATGAGGATTACTTGGCCCACCTGCATTTCGTAATTGTTCAGTGAATATTTTCTTACATGTTAAATTGTAATTTTATGATGTTATTTGTGTTGCTCAATTGTTCAGGGGATTGTCACATGCAACCAAAGCATTCCGTTTACTTGTGGTTTTAGCGTGCACCCTCGTTTACCTTACTACATGTGGGCAATGCTCTGGGGATGGGTTGCAGATGTTATCGAAATATGATGTTTGTGGATCATATGGAGATAATTTGGATGTGGCCTTGGCGGATAATTTTCTCGGTGACACCAGTTTGGACCGTGGATTTCCAAGAACCCACTTCAATATTGATAGGATTTGTACTAGCTCCCATTTATTCTGCTTTCCGTCAACATTACCTGGTTTCTTGGGGCATAAACTCAAAGTGGCTGATTTTGGAGTTTCGGGGAAACAGTCTGATGATATATCATCTATAGGATCAACTGAAGATAGCAAGTTGACAAATAACAAAAGTTGGTCATCGGACAATGGCGTGTTTAAGTTATTTAATGGAGGGATTGTTTCTTGTTCTTTGAACTCCAAAAAGGCTACTAATGAGTTTTCATCCATTCAAGCTGATAGATCCAATCAAAACTATCTTTCTTCGTGTAGAGGACCTTTACTTTATCAGAAGAGCACAAATTTTAGGCCAAACAAGAACATTGAGATGACCAAATTTAGTTCTTTCAATGGTTCACCCTCACCCCATGTAGAAATTAGCCCTGCTGTATTGGATTGGGGACAAAAGTATATGTATTTTCCGTCATTAGCTTTCTTAACTGTGGCAAATACATGCAATGACACCATTTTACATGTTTATGAGCCATTCAGTACTGACATGCAGTTCTATCCTTGCAACTTTAGTGGGACTACGTTAGGACCTGGTGAAACAGCTTCAATTTGTTATGTATATTTACCTAGATGGTTGGGCTTGTCCTCTGCTCACCTAATTTTGCAGACAAGCTCAGGTGGTTTCTTGGTTCAGGCGAAAGGTTTTGCCATAGAGTCTCCTTACGGGATTCATCCTTTATTAGGCCTGGATGTTTCTTCCAGGGGAAGGTGGAGTAAGAATTTGTCGTTGTTTAACTCATTTGATCAAATTTTCCATGTGGAGGAAGTAACAACATGGATATTAGTGTCTCAGGAGCATACCTCCCATCATGCAGAGGCAACATGTAGTACTGAAAAACTTCAAGGTTCTGATGAACTTGGGTTGCTGGGTGTTAATGAACGTCTGGTTGTTAGTTCTGGCCAAGTTGGTTTGCCTCTTCTGGCCATGAGGCCCCTTAGGAACTGGGAGATTGGTCCACACAGCAGTGAAACTATCATAGAAATAGACTTCTCAATTGAATCGAAGGGAAAAATTTTTGGTGCAATTTGTATGCAGTTGCTAAGGCCTTCTGAGGACAAGTCTGATACTATTATGCTTCCTTTTGAGGCTGAAGTGGATGGAACAGCAACGAATGATGATCTTGCAGGATCTATCTCAGCATATCTTCAGGTTTTGGTCCCCTATTCTGCCAATGAGACTTCTGCTGTTGCTATATCTCTGAAGAATTCTGCCCCTTACCTCTTGAGACTTCTTGAGATTACTGAAGTTGCGGATGGTAGAACTTTGCAGATTAAGTACACTGAAGGCTTGCTACTTTTCCCTGGCAGTGAAACATATGTTGCTGTTGTTGCTTGTACTGAGCCACATGTCGAATTAGATGGTCACTGTAAATTACTTATACAGACAAATGACTCAAGTAGCTCGCAGATTGAAATTCCTTGCCAGGATGTTATTCATATATGTTCAAAACATTGGAATGATTCCACCATTGAATATGAACATCAGTCTGAAAGTAGTGAATTGGGTGATATGCAGACAGAGTCCTCTGAAAGTGGCACGCGGTGGCCATCACCGATCAAGGTATGCAAATTTTACATCTTTCTATGTAGGTCTCTGTGTGTATGTATTCTCATTTGTGTTTGAAGCTGGATTAGCTTTTGAAGTTTGATTGCTGTATACTTCTTGCAGTGCCTTTGTTTGTTGTCTCTGTCTTTTGACTAAATGATCAAGTATATTACCTTTCATTTATTAGTATCAAGCATGCTCTTTAGTTATTTGTAAAAGTATCATGTTGTCAAGGTTGGAGTCGGCAGGTGTCCATTGATCAAATCACTTTAAAAGATATATATAAAAAGATAGCATGCTTGTCTCTTACAATTTTATTGACTTTTTAATGTACAATATGCTTGTTACTGTGACTGCATTTGTTCTGTATATTTCTGAATCAGTTTAACTCTTTTTTGTGTTGTTCGAGGTTATTTAGCCATGATGTAACCAATTATGTAATGTGATTTTTTTTTTACCCACAAACATCAACATCCATAGTAACCAAAATGTTATTGTGAACCTATACATGAAGGCAATGGAGGCAGCAGAAGCAGATGAACTGGTGCTACAAAACTGGAAATCTCAAGATACCAGAAGTGGCATGTCTGTGCTAACTGATCGTGAGGTATTCTTCCCAATGCTTCAGGTAGGAAGTCACAACTCTAAATGGATCACTGTAAAGAATCCTAGCCAAGAACCGGTAGTGATGCAGCTTATACTGAACTCAGGGGAGATTATTGATCGATGTAAGAGTCCAGATGGTCTTATACAGCCTCCTTCATCTGGTAGTGTGGTTTATAATGGATCCACTTCTCCAAGTAGGTATGGGTTCTCGATAGCAGAAAATGCACTAACAGAGGCTTATGTTCAACCCAATGGTAGAGCATCTCTTGGACCAGTATTGTTTCACCCTTCAAATCGATGTGAGTGGAGAAGTTCGGCCCTGATAAGAAACAATCTTTCTGGTGTGGAGTGGTTATCTCTGAGGGGAATTGGAGGGTCGCTATCCTTGCTTCTCCTTGAAGAGTCTGAGCCTGTTCAGAGTGTAGAATTCAACCTCAGTTTACAAATTCCTCTAAACTTTTCTCCTCCAGACAGGTTTCGCATGGAAGATGTCACTCATTCTTGTTTACAGCCATTATCAAGGCAGCTCTATGCGAAGAATACTGGAGACCTGCCTCTGGAGGTTAGAAGAATCACGGTGTCCGGAAAAGAGTGCCGGATGGATGGGTTTATGGTACAAACTTGCAAAGGTTTTGCTCTTGAACCTGGAGAATCAGCAAAACTTCTGATATCATACCACACTGATTTTTCTGCAGCCTTGGTACAGCGGGATCTTGAGCTGGTCTTGAATTCTGGTATTCTGGTGATACCCATGAAGGCAAGCATCCCTTTGCATATGATCAGTATATGCCAGAAATCAGTGGTCTGGATGCGCGTTAAAAAATACTCCTCAGTAGTATTTCTTGTTGTCTCCTTGGTGTTTCTAGTATTTTGGTATACATTGCCCCAGGTACCCGCCTTTTGTTCGGATGACTGTTTCTGCACAAGCAGAAAATGTTCCTTGGTTACTTCTAAAAGTAGTTCAGGAAAATCATCTCATGTGCATAACTATAGAGACAGTAGATTTTCTGTGTCTGGTGAGATAAACAGTTCGGTAAAATCAGTTCGAGAAGATAGAACCTCAATGCAGGCATCATCTGTTGGTAGGTATCCGGATGACCAGGCTGGGGCCTCAGAGCAGGAAAGATTTGCTCAACATGCAAATCAAATTCTTCAAGGTCATGAACAAACTAATTCTTTGTCAGATACAACAAAGAACAAAGCCACGGCCTTCTCATTGGTGTCTAAATCTGTGTCAGCTGGGAATCCCGATGAACTAGAAGCATCCCAACCTGGTAACCTCACAGTCAAAACTGGACAGGAAAAGGGTAGAAGGCGTAAGAAGAGAAAGGGTTCCGGTGCTAAGTTAACAGGACTTCTTGAAGTTTCAAGTAGTCAAAGTGGAAATTCTACACCTTCATCACCCTTGTCTCCAGTCACATCTGTAACACCAAAACAGACCTGGCCGCTATCAACTGATGTGAGCCAAGCTGTAGAGGCCAGGAATCCATTTACTCAAGTGGCTCAACAACACTTCCAGAAGAGTCATGTCTTTAAATCTGCTTCTAAGGCAAACTTATCACAGCCTGAGGTCTCTCTAAAATATTGCAATAACCATCCAACTTTTGCTTCTCAAGTGCAGCCACCAGAACCAAGAAAACCTCCGGCTAGACCTGTTTTGTTGCCTTCTGCCACCTTTCCTGGTTCCAGTAGGTCTGCATCTAATTTGGCATGCTCAACCTCTTTTCTGGCTTCAACCTCACCTATTTCTCCACATGCTAGAGCCCCTGGGTCCAAACTCTGTGATCGGAAAATTGCTGACGAAGAAAAGGCTCGGCTTGGGGATGAATATACATATGATATCTGGGGTGATCATTTTCCTAGGCTTAAGTTGAATGGTGGTAGGTCAAAGGATGTCACTTCTCTGACCTCCAGCACTACAGAGAGCGACTCTAATAGCTTCTTTGTAAAGGGTCCACAAGCCCTCATGGCAAAGTCTCCATCGAGATCTGTAAGTTTTTTCCATCAAGATGGTTATTGATAAAAAAAAAAAAATCCAAATAAGTTACCATGTTTCTCTGCTTCTGAATCTCGTTTAAGTCTGCTTGTCTATAGTTTTCTTCATTCATAAGAAACATGGTATCGATCACCATTGTCATCTGTTAATATGAAACTTAAAAAAGTAGCCCATGCTGTAAATGATGAATGGCTTAACATGGCCTAGGAATTACAATAAGAGCACCACTATTAGCTGTTATACTCTGAACTTATCAAAATGAAAGTAAAGATGAAAATAGACATTAAACACTACCGATGAGGTAAAGATGAAAGGAGGTCAACTGATCGTTCTTAACGATAAGCTGTTATACCCTGAACTTAACAAAATTCAGAACATTAAAATTCTTTAAAGAAAAGAACACCTGAATTTGATTGTCTTTGTCCAGGAAAGTTTAGTTAACAATAAGCCAACTGATGTGTGACACTATTATTTTCTAATGGCATGCATGAAGGGAGGGAAAAAAATCTTGACTATTAAAACTTACGGTTGTAGAATAGTAAATTAATAGTCATGGGTTTGCAGAAACTTTCTCGAGTTTGAAATTGCAGATCACTATGAATGAATGCTACATGGAAGTCCGACTCTTGAATTGTTTACTCTTTTTAACAATTTGGTAAATGACTAGTCGTTTATATGAGCTTGATTGTAATATTCTGAAAGATTAATGCATGGAGAATGTGAACTTCTGCGATAACAGCGCGTATCAGTTCTTAAAATTAGTAACGTTTAGTATACGGTTTGTGAAATATTCAGTGAATGCATAATCAGGTGACTTATGAAATCTTCAATAAATTGCATATACAGCAACAATTCGAGCCTCTCAGGAGCTTTTACCTGAGTTGAAAGGCAAGAGAGGTACGGTGGGAGAACAGATTAGTTGTCATCCATATGTATCTCAGATCACATTCTTACATTAATGTGTCACAAATACTTATTTAACGGGCTTCACTTCACTGAAATGGATGTGCTATTCCGAGATGAAGCGAAGCCCGTTAAATAAATATTTTCCATGGGGTGGAAATATTGCAATTTTGTGATGTTGGGCCTTGGATTCCATACTACTAAACAGAAATCTCAGCCCAAAATAAGATTTCATCTGAGCTCTGATATTGCAACATAGATTAAGTACTGGGGAGTTTGGATAGTGATGTCTCAGTGGTCGAAGTGATGTATCAAAGATGCTCTTGTTTTTTCGTTCGTTTTGCACACGGACAAGGATTGTCTGCCCTCCTTGTTTCCATGCCCTCCCATGCCCTCCTGTTTGTGTGGTCACGGTTAAGCCACGTCAACATTTTATATTACTATTCATTTTTGTCTTATTATCTATATAAAAAAACAATATAAAATGTTGAAGTGGCTTAACCATGACCACACAAAACAGGAGGGCACAGAAGGGTACCGAAACAAGGAGGGCAGACAATCCTTGTCCTTTGCACACACCCATAAAATAGGTAAAATGGAAATTCTGCTGTCCTTGCCTACCATTCTTGTGACATTGACAAACAGGTTTTTACCTTCTGTATATTCACACTGGAGTTTGCATTTTCCCGTCGAAGTCCTCGATTGAACGGTCCAGTCTAACGGCCTAGTCACTTGTCCATGCATGCCCCATACGCAGGCACAGGCATGTGGTTGCTTTGGCAGACATTTTGGTATGAAGATTGCAACTTCACATTCACAGTATTCATCACATCTCCTGCAACTACTTCTGTAAGATTGTAACTTTCACAGTATAGTGGCTGCCTAATCAGGGCGCTGCATTCAATTACTGTTCCTACATTGTAATTAAAATTAGAGGACGGACATGGATAAGATGGATTTCCAGTCCGTGAATGGACGTGATGGTGATGGTTGAGAAGGATGGCTCGTGCGCGCCTGCCAGCAACGGAGGAAGATAACCCCACAAAATTGATAAGTTTGCAGAAACTGATCCATGGAAAAGGACTTTTTGGGGACCATATTTGGTCGCGGAGCTGGCATCGTAGTAATTAGTGTATTTGTCGTTAGAGCTGCCATAACTACATGCACCTAAACAGTGACCTTGCTGATCAGTTGCTAAGCCAACAAAATCTTCAACATGCCCGGCGGTAAAGTGAGGATGGGCGTAAAATCGTCCTAGTTTACTTAACATGCAACAATTTGCAAGTGATTGCGCAAATCCTTAATATGACATTTTGTCTAATGAGAGATCACTTTCTAGATGGGTTAAGAGCGGCTTATGAGCTATGACAGCCAAAAGTGCTTCTGATTGCAATTGATAGAAAAACTTAGAAGCGTTTTTTATTTATAGCACTTTCTGGAAAAACGTCAATCAAAGACTTCTTCAAGCAGCGCATAAGCACTTGGATTTTTAATAAGAAATTTCATCATGTACATAATAAAGCACTTTGAACATAAGTGATGATGAACATAAGTGCTTTCTGGATAAGCAATCCCGTACATGAGAATGTTTCTAACTATATGCTATTGAAGCTAATTGATGAAATGGGGATCAGATGCTCTACCACAATGCTAAAGCTATGCATTTATACATTCATTCATTCTTCTAGTTGGTTTTGGCAGAAGGGTAGTGAACATAAGTGGTCCACTATTGGACCATGTCTGATCTACAACCAAGAGGACCAACACTGTCCCTCTGTCTCTTTGGGTTTTAACCTTTGTGACCTCTTTCTGATAGCCTAACGAATCATATGGATTCTTAAGTAGGTTGACTTTTAACATGCTTATGCTAACACACATGGGAAGATGAACTCCCAACTTGAGTTGGAATCAAATTTACACTAGTTGTAATTTCTTTTCACCAATTAATGTCTTTTTGACAAAGTGCTTTTCTGGATTAACATGTTATACTATCATGGCTAACTAGAGTAAAGCTTGTATCTAAGAATATATGTTATGTTGTTAGACAATGAATATTGATTGTAAGAATTCACCTCCTATACATTTAAAAAAACAAAGATAGAAATAAAAGAACCGATTTTTGCACATTATTTTTTGCAATCCCCTTCTTAATCACGGTCCTTGATTGTTTTTTATTTTTATTTTTAACAAACAATATTATCATCTACACTAAGAGGGAGGGGGATGAATTTAGCCTCACAATGGGCTAGCAATAGTGTGGTTCAATATTGCATTTGGTGAGAATCGAAACCAAGAGCTCTCACATATAAGTGAAGAAGAATATCACTAAACCGTAGTACTAAGTGGCTGGTCCTTGATTGTTTTGACTTGTTTACTTGAGTGGTAAAAAAAAGTGTGTGCAAAAAATGAAAAAGGATGTCGAAAATAATTTCCTGATTAATAATATTTATCTTAGTGAAATGACGCGTGCATAAATCGTTTCAAGCTAAATTTTCTTTTAAACAAAATAAAGCGAGAATAAGGTTTTTGTTGTAGTCATATTTAGAATATGAATGTGATTGTGTAAATCCTAGTGTATCTAGGGATATCTTTGAATATTCCATTTGGTAGTTAATATCCTATTAGAGTTGTAATCCTAAAAGGGTAAAGATTTAATCTATCATACTACTATAAATAAAAGCACAAAAGGGTGATACAACACACACCTCACAATTAAATCTCTTTCCTTTATCTCTTGTTGCCGCCGGCCTCCCCTCTCTATTCCGTTATAATAGTTCAGTCAAATAGGCCTACAATGCGTTATCAACACACTCTTACCAGAAGCTAAGAAGCTGAAGGATCATAGGAGGAGGCTTTCTTCTACAAAATTCAAAGGCTTTTGTTTGTTTTCTGCCAATCAAGTACACTTAAAATAGAGTAAGGTATTTGAAACGTCCATGAAGCATGAAAACATTCCCCATGATGCATGAACCCCCTATATTTATATTTTCCTTCCGATATATAAATTGTATATGTATATATATATATATATATATATATATATATATATATATATATATATATATATGTTTATGCATTACGCAATTATATTGCTATGTGGAATTTGTGAGTCAAAGCATATAGATAAATTAGAAATAATTTATGGTTTTTCAAACCCTAAAGATGTCAAAAAAAAAAAAAATATGGGAATTATGCGGCACGGCCAGCACCGATTGGGTTGCCTTGGCTTGCAGCCCAACACCGTGGCGCAAATTATGGAATGGCGTCGTTTGATGCCTTGGACCATATGGCAGCAATCTTTTGGGCTTTGCTACGTCTACTCGAACACACCAAGTCTTCGGCCTGATAGGGTTACACGGGTCTGAAGCCCCCAACCCAAACTTAGAAAGCCTACAACTCTTCTTGGCCCTGTCCAGCGCGTCCGTGGCCTAACTCTTGCAGCCCAGAATTGTTGGGCCTTTATTGACCCATACCCAGGCCTACTCGTAGCAGCCCATTGCTTGCAGGGCTTTGTTCCAGCATTTTGCCTACTCGCCCGCAACTTTTACTGCTGGGCTTAACTTGCCCCAACCCAAAACCCGACCCCAGCTTTGGCTGGGGTTCGCGAGCGCTAACCTGTAAGCCAACCTTTGGTTGGGCCTGCTCTCGCGCCCCGTTTTGGGCCTGCTCCCGCGCCTCGTTTTGGGCCTAAACCAGTAGCTTTTGCTGCTGGGCTTACCTAGACCTTACGGTCCGAGGTCCAATAGCCTGCAGCCAAACTGTAGAGCCTATCTCCGCGTTGTTAGCAGCCCATTTTTGGCTGGCCGCATTATTTTTTCAACCCAATGCCAATTTTTTGGCATTCATGCGTTATAAATCATGCCAAAATATTTTTTTTTTGGGTACTTTGGTTTACGCTAAGTAATTCTAATTTAATTATCATTTGGTTTATCACCAACCGAAGCCTATATGACCCGTATGTCATTATTTTTCTTCCACGATCGACCATGTTTGGTCCTGATCTATTGAATTAATTAAAAGTGACATGCAATCCATTAATCTGATAATTAATCCAAAAGTATTAACCTGAAGATCACTTTTGGACATTAACGATTCAATAATTTATTTCTATACTTTGAACCGTAGACATCATTTCGTAGTCTCGAAACTCTCACA